TGTAAAATCAATTTGTGAACAGAATAAATGGAAACACTAAAAAACTAAACAGTAAACAGGACAACAAAAACTAAATAGATCCTATCAACCAAGACAGGAAACGGGATATAAAAAATCTGAGAAGCTTATTTGTGAAGGAAAAACAAAGAAGAAAGACCCTGAGCTCCTGGTTGATGGTCATCAGTTGGGTTCTTGACGGTCTTCATTGGACCCCTGGTGGCTGAGGTGGTTGATTTAGGTTCTGTTGGGTACAATGACAGAGTACATTTACTGAGTCAAAACCTTGTATATACTTAAAAATCAACTCCTTTCACATCAGTGTGGCTGTTGCAGAACATCTTCTGAACACTGACCTCTGATGAAGCTGAACCTGGAAAAGAGTCTGTTACATAAAACGGCCTCATAGCGTTTTCTGTCTCCACATCTAGTTGTTTATCATCTTTTATTTGAGTTAAATTAGAATCTTACAGCAAATCCTGTAAAATAAACATGTGGTCATGAGGGGAAAGAAAGTGATATTTACCCTGAGCTCCTTGTTGATGGTCATCAGTTTGGTCGTTGACAGTCTCCTCTGGACGATTGGTGGCTGAGGTGGTTGATTTAGGTTCTGTTGGGTACAATGACAGAGTACATTTACTGACTCATAACCTTGTATATACCTAAAAATCAACTACTTTCAAATCAGTGTGGCTGTTGCAGAACATCTTTTGAACACTGACACCTGATGAAGCTGAACCTGGAAAAAAGTTTCTGTAAAAACGGCCTCATAACGTTTTCTGTCTCCAAATCTAGTTGTTAATCATCTTTTATTTGAGTTATAAAAGAATCTTACAGCAAATCCTGTAAAATAAACATGTGGTAATGAGGGTAAAGGAAGTGATATTTACCCTGAGCTCCTTGTTGATGGTCATCAGTTGGGTTATTGTCAACCTTCACTGGACCACTGGTGCTGTTGTCGGATGAAGAGCCTGTTCGATACAGGATGATGCAGTTATTGACTCCAAATCTTATAAAGTTAAAATTCCTGCCTTGTAGTTTACATCCATGTTTGTCCAGATTCACATAGAATACACAGTGAGGACTTCAGAGGAATTTATGGGTAGATTTAAAGTAATTCTAGTTTTAAATCCATGAGCTCCAGTCGGAGGTCAT